TCACCAAGTTAGGGATGTTTTCTGTCATTATTTTTTCAAATAGGTTTTCAATTTTTTGCTCTCTCTTGTCTTTTTCTGGCATCCCCATGATGTGAATGTTGACATGCTTGTAGTTGTCCTCATTTTTTTTTTAATTCTTTTTTCTTTTTGCTGTTCTGATTGAGTGTTTTTTGCTTCCTTCTGTTCCAAATAACTAGTTTGCTTCTCTGCTTCATCTACTCTACTATGGATTCTCTGTAAATTATTCTTTATTTCAGTTAGTGCCTCCTTCATTTCTGACTGTTCCTTTTTTATGCTCATTAGCATCCTTATAACCAGTGTTTTGAATTCTGCATCTGTTAGATTGCTTATCTCCATTTTGTTTAGTTCTTTTTCTGGAGTTTTGTTCTGTTCTTTTATTTGGGACATGTTTCTTTGTCTCCTCATTTTTGCTGCCTGCCTGTTTGTTTCTTTGTATTAGATAGAGCTGCTATATCTTCTAAGCTTCATAGGGTGGTCTGTTGTAGTAGGTGTCCTGTAGGGTCCAGTGGCATAGCCCCCCTAATCACCTCAGCTGGGTACTCAAGGTGCACCCCTGTGTGGACTGAATACTCTTCTGTTATAATTGAGTCTTGAATGCTGTTGGCATGTCAGTGGGAGGGATTTATTCAGGCCGATCAGCTGCAAGGATTGGCTGTGCCTACTCACCACTGGCCTCTGATCACCTTGGAGGATCAGCTGTGCAGGGGCCACCCACAGAGCTCTGGTACCCACTGAGTCTACCTCTTGGGTATGTCGCTTATGGATGTAGTTGGATGGTGATTGTCTGAAGCTTTCCACTGGGTGTGCTAGCTCTGGGGCCTCCTGGGTAGCACAGGCCAAGGTCAGTCACTGCCTGTGTTCTCTCCTGGGCCATCAGGCCTAAGCTACAAAGCAACCTACAGATGGCTGCTTTTTGTGCTAGCCTTGGAGGTACCTAGCCAAGGCCAAGTTGGCCAGGCCTGGTGCCACGTAGTGAGAGGTATGGGGCTCACTGAGGCCAAATACTGTTTGTTTGAGAGAATTTAGGAAATTCTGAAGCAGGATCCAAGACAGGCCAATCCTATGGTAAAACCACTGGAAACAGCTTGGGTGGGCCTGAAAGTTGGGTGGGGCAGGGCCTCAGGGAATCACCAGGGCAGGGCAACCAGTGTGAGCCAGGTTGCTGGAGTCCCAGATAAACACCTTTCTGCTGGCCCTGTGAGGGAAGGACTCACCAAAGTAACAAAGCCTCTGACAGCACGTCTGTCTGGGAGAAAGCTGCCCCTCCAGCTCTCTCCCAATGCCAAACAACTCAGTTCTTCCTGTATATCTCTGGTGCCTTTCAAGCTGCCTCCCCCATGCTAGAGCCCAGAAGGAGTGAGTCTGAGTAAGTCTTGTGCGGGCCCTTAAAGAGGAGCTGCCTGGGCCTCTAGAAGCCTCAGCCTCCCTCAGCCTCAGTTCCCACTGGTCTTTACAGCATAAAGTGATGGGGATTCTCTTACTGGCCCTGGAACCCTGAGCGGGGCGCCTGGTGTGGGACAGGGACCTCTCACTCCTCAGGGAGGACCTTCCCAGCCGAGGTGTCCTCCTGATTTTTATCTGCCACATGTGGGTGTGGGCCCAGCCCGGCCTCCGTCCCTCCTACCAGTCTCCATGTGGTTCTTCTTTAATCTCGTGGTTGTAGGACTTCCATTCAGCTTAATGTCAGGAGGTTCTGAAGGATGTTTTTTCTGTAGTTTAGTTGTAACTTTTATGTGGTTGTAGGAGGTGTTGAGGACTGTGTTTACCTATCCGCCATCTGCAGTTGGTATGTTTTTTTTTAATCTTCACCTGAGGACATTTTTCCATTTTTTTGTTCAGACAGAGTGGGAGGGAGAGAGAGGAAGAGAGAGAGCGAAACATCGACGTGAAAGGGACACATCGAGTGGCTGCCTCCTGCACGACCAACCAAGGCCAGAGACAAACTGTAACCAAGGTACGTGCCCTTAGTGGGAACCGAACCCAGGTCTCTCTGGACTGCAGGCCGATGCTCTGACCACTGAGCCAAACCGGCCAGGGCTGGTATGTTTTTTATAGTAATGGTCACTGTGCTATATATTCTAGTCAATTTCCTTTTTTTCTTGGCAGTAAGTAGTTTTTACTTGTGACTGGTGCGTGGCATTCCATAGTGTGGAGACCCACCACATACTTGTCCTGCTTCCAGCTGTTTTCGTCATGTCTTCATGAATGACTTTCTTATAGAGAATGAGAGTTTTTTAGACAAGAGTAGTTAGATTGCTTTTCTACTGGACATACTAATACTTCGACTGAGTATCACCACATTATTTTCCAGATTGGAGGCACCATTCTACAGTCCTTAGTGTGCAGGGATAGTACAATTAAGTTCTTGAATTTATGTGATAGGGCAGAGGACATTATTTTCCTCTCTTTTCAGAAGGACTTGACTTTTTCTGCTAGGAGCAGCTGAGAGGGCCAGTAACTGTAACTGGGAAAGGGAGGTAGCAACACGACTAGTTCACAAATTCAGGCTTTATGCACTGGGCACTGTTCCGGGGCCATCTATCCCAATTACACATGAGTCGCTTAGAACAGCTGGTTTTTACTATTTCTTTAAAGGTAAAAGAAAAAAGAGCCTCCTTGGAGTTGTGCTGAGATGTCAGATTAGTTTTTAGAGCACAAAACCCTGAATGACCCATGAACAACAGATTTTTGAATAGGAAACAGAGGATCGGAAGTAGAAGGCTTAATGGGAAAAAGAAAAGAGCACATCTTTGGATTCAGTAACTCAATAGATGTGACTGGTGGAAAGATGGCACGCACGTCATTGACCTAATTTTTACTCTGTATTTTATTGGGTGAGTAATTGAATCAGTTGTGACAGAGCAATTATATGTAATAAACTTTTACCACGGGAGCCACTGTTTACATTGAACACTGTTGGTAGTGATGGAAATAATCTCATACATAGCAATAGGTTTTTAAGCTAAAGTAAGAGGGCACAGAAGATCAAAATGTATGTTTAGAAATCCAGTGTTCAATGTATTAGATGCCATTAATATATGTGATTAAAAATGTAATATAGCAGTTCAAGAATACATTGGGAGTTAGGGATATGCCTTAGAAACAGAATAAAATAAATATAAGGTTAGACAGTATATTCAAGAACTCCAGTAGAATAAGATAATAGTATAATCTAGTTTTCACAAAAATATTTACTGAGAATTGATTACAGAATTTGGAATACTAGTGATTCCTATTCTGGGCAAGGATGGTGTATTAGAGTGAAGCCACGTTCCTGTCAGTAAGACACTGGCCAGCACCAGCACGGATCACCTGCTCTGCTTCCGGGAGCCACTCGGGACAGTTTCCTGAGAGTTACTGTCTCCTCAGTCCCTGGATTAGGGACTGACAGGCCCAGAAGTGAGTACTTTTGGTTTTGTGAGACATATGCTTGCTGTCATAACTACTCAGTTCTGCAGTTATAGCCCCAAAGCAGCTACAAATGCATCAATGAATGGGCGTGACTGTGTTTCATAAAAACTTTAGAGACACAATTTATTTGATTTTTGTATAATTTTTATTTCATGAAGTATTATTTTTCTCTTGATTTTTTCAACCATTCAAAAATATAAAATCTAGCCCTGGCCAGTTTGGCTCAGCAGTTAGAGCGTCGGCCTGCGGTCCGGAGAGACCCGGGTTCGGTTCCCGCTAAGGGCACGTACTTCGGTTGCAGTTTGTCCCCGGCCCTGGTTGGTCGTGCGGGTGGCAGCCACTCGATGTGTCCCTTCACGTCGATGTTTCTCTCTCTCTCCCCCTTCCTCTCTCTCCCTCCCACTCTATCTGTACAAAAAATGGAAAAATATCCTCGGGTGAGGATAAAAAAAATATATATATATATATATATATATATATATATATATATATATATAAAATCTAATTTTGGCTTTTGGGTAGAGGCCCCCTGGGTTTAGCCTGGGGGTTGTGTCTTTCTGACCTCTGCCTAGGGCATTGCCAGCTGCATAGAACTGGGTGATACCAGTCTGGAATAAGTCAGTAGAAAAAAAGTTGTGGCAGACACACCCAGTTGCTTAAGATATTGGTCTTGTCACAACAAATGTAAATTTTAATCTCATTTAATTGATGAGAACTGAATTATTTGGCTTCACTCAGTGACAAATGACCTGCTGTTTCAAGGCAGCTACAAGCTCTGTATTGTTGAATGAAGGGAACAGAATTTGATGGACAGCTTTTAGTCTCTGCTTCTGATGACTTTCTGCTATTATATGCTTCCCGTTAGATGCATACATCTCTGTACCCCACCCAGGGATAAAGAATTAAATCATAGACATCTGTTTACTGTATGGCTTAGGATGACTGCGGTGATAGTAGTTTTACTATACATAAATACATTGGTATTTAGGGAACAGTGATTAATGGGAAAAGAGAAAGCAGGAAGATTAGTAAGGATATACAGATCAAGATAATAACAGTCTAGACTCAGAAATACTCCTCTCTAGCCACAAGGTTTGTCATTTTGTTCTTCTGGCATCTTACTGTGTAGTTCTGCTCTGTACCTACAGCTGATGCTCCACTTTGAATCTCATCTTCCCCGATTACTGAACATCTGATTTGAGCAAATTACTTCACTCTTCTTGGTTCATTTTACTCCTCTATAAAACAGGGACAATAATAATGCCAACAGCAAATGGTTGTGATGATGTTTAAATGAGTTAATACATAACTTAGAATGACTCCTCGTACATCAAATACTGTTATTTATCATACAGTAAATGTAATATAAGTGCTCATTTTATTGCTATATATTATTATATTACATATAACCAGGTCACTGCATATTTATGTGTATTTTATGTATATTTATGTATTGTATTTATATACAACTCTCATTTCCTGTGTTCACTCAGAATCAACTATTTTATTACTTTTATGCTCTGTTAACTGTTCTTTGTGTGTTTTATTTATTTTTTGTTCTTTTGCAGATCGGGATGTTGGTTTTAAAACTGTACAACAGGGAATGTCAGAAAAAGTTTCAATCAAGTTTGAGAGAATTGATCTCTTCACAAGAGATGACCCATATTTCATTTTAGAATTGTGGCGAGATAATGATCAGACAGGGGGTCGTGAGGAAAACCAGGACCAACGTGTGAGCCATATTGCCTTTATCAACAAAGAGACACTGGCTGATGAGAAGGACTGCGAACACAAGGACATTGTAAATCCAAACTTCATTCCTTCAAGAAAAAGACCCTGTAACTATAACTCACTTGGAAAAGTGTGAAGCCTATTATAAACTTATGCAATTATAATAGAAACAATGTAAAAGAAAATCTTGATAAGATTATTGGATATGGAAATAATTTTACTCATATAAATTCTTATACAGAAATGAATGCTTGTGAATGTAATCAATGTAAGAAATGTCTGAGTTGTAAGCAAGATCTTATTCAACATCAAGAAATTCATACGGGGAAGAACCTTCGTGGATTTTCTGACTGTGTAAACATTGTCAACCAGAAGTCACACCTCTTTGCACATGGTAATATTTATACTGAAGACAAACAGAATGAATGCAGCAAATGTGGGACAGTCTCTATTCAGAATTCTCAATTTGCTATACCTCAGAAGGTTTATACAGGAGAGAAATCCTATATATGCACTGGATATGGGAAGGACATTTCCCTCAAGTCAAACCATGAGAAAAGTCCTACTGAGGGAAATGACTATAAATGCACTGAATATGGAAAAGCCTATATTCAGAAGTCAGATGTCGTCAGATGCCAAGGAATTCATTCTGGAGAAAAACCCCATAAATACACTGAACATGGGAGAAGCATCTCTCAGAATTCAAACCGCAGTATACATAAAAAAAATCATATTGGAGAGAAACACTTTGAATGTATTGAATGTGGGAAAGCCTTCACAAGGAAATCAACACTAAATATGCATCAGAAAATTCATACAGGAGAAAAATCATATGTATGTCCTGAATGTGGGAAATCCTTTATCCGGAAGTCACATTTTATTATGCATGAGAGAATTCATACTGGAGAGAAACCTTACAAATGCAGTGATTGTGGGAAGTCTTTTATAAAGAAGTCACAACTCCTTGTACATCAGCGAACGCACACTGGAGAGAATCCCTTTATCTGTTTAGAATGTGGGAAGGTCTTCACCCACAAGACAAATCTCATTATACACCAGAAAATTCATACTGGAGAGAGACCCTATACATGCAGCAGCTGCGGGAAATCATTCACCTGGAAGTCACGACTCAGAATGCATCAGAAGTGCCACACTGGAGAGAGACGTCATGAGTGCGGTGACTGCGGGAAAGCCTTCATTCAGAAGTCAGCACTGAGCGTGCATCAGAGAATTCATGGAGGGGAGAGGCCCTGTGTGTGTCCTGACTGTGGGAAGGCCTTCTTCCACAAGTCACATTTTATCACACACGAGAGAATTCATACCGGGGAGAAACCTTATGAATGCCCTGACTGTGGAAAGTCTTTTACTAAGAAATCACAACTCCATGTCCATCAACAAATTCACACGGACAGATGTGCCAAATGCGGAAAGGCTTTCACCGACAGATCAAACCTCTTTACGCACCAGAAGATTCACGCTGGAGAGAAAGCCTACGCATGCAGTGACTGTGGGAAAGCCTTCTCCCGGAAGTCAGGCCTCCACGTCCACCAGCAGGCGCATACTGGAGAAAGACAGCACACGTGCAGTGACTGTGGGAAAGCCTTCGCAAGAAAGTCAACGCTCATCATGCATCAAAGGATTCATTCAGGAGAGAAACCCTATGTCTGTACTGAATGCGGGAAGTCCTTCACCCAAAAGTCCCATTTAAATCGACACTGGAGAATTCATACCGGAGAGAAACCCTATGAGTGCAGAGACTGTGGGAAAGCCTTCATTAAGAAGTCACAACTCCATGAGCATCAGCGAACTCACACAGGAGAGAAACCATACATATGTGCTGAATGTGAAAAGGCCTTCACCATCAGATCGAATCTTATTAAACACCAGAAAACCCATACCAAAAAGCCCTATAAATGCAGTGACTCTAGGAAAGCTTTCAACTAGAAGACACAACTCAGCATGTATCAGGAATTTGACCGAGAGGACGTAGAGTGCCCAGTACCACAACCAGAGGCTGCAGCTTAACTGGGAGCAGGAAGTAACCAAAGCCAACTGTCCTCTGGTCAGAGGTGTAAGTGTCTGGATCACACAGCTGATTTTGGGTCACACATCTGAGAAGAAGCTTTGTAGAAAGTGTGTCAGCAATGTGTAATGACTTTCCTTGGTTTTTTGACAGATTCCAACATTGTCAAGATCCTGCAGATAATAGTAAGTGTGCAAGGAGGCAGCAGCCATCGTCTTGTTCCACATTTTGGATAAGCAGCTTTATGAAATCAGGGCTGTTGAGTTTTTCATGCCTAACAAAAATGCTTAGTATTGACCAAAGGTATTTTTAAATGACTGAGCTCCCTAATGACACCAAAGTCAAGGCAAAAGTACAGACAATTTAAGAAAACGGGTTCTGCCCCGGCCAGTGTGGCTTAGCTGGTTGAGTGTCGTCCAGTGCACTGCGACGGCACTTGTCGGCGTTGCAGGCTCAGTACTCAGTAGGGGGCGTGCAGGAGGCAGCCAATCAATGTTCTGTTCTAACATCAATGTTTTTTCCTTTCCTCTCTCAAAATCAAGAATAAAAGAAAGAAAATGGATGTCAAGACCTAGAATTCTTACCTTCCAATTTTGTTGATACTTTCTTTACATAGTTGTTACATGCTAGGTTACTATGAAACAATGGTCTTGCATTTGAGCATGTTTTCTTAAAAGATACAATGTAGCTGCACATTTGGAAGAATATTTCTATTCCTTCATCAGATACTGAAGTGTCTTACAATCCTTCAGAATAATCATGAATTTGTCTCTTAGATCTACCAATTTTGGCTTTATATATTTTGAATCTTTGTTTTTACAAACATTTAGATTTAGAATTGTTTTACTTTTCCTGGTTAATTTGAGACTTAATCATTATGAAAGTCCCTTTTTAATCTCCGGTGATGCTTTCTGCCTTAAAATGTACTATGTCAAATTCCATGTATTATCTTTTTCTTATATGGTGTAAATGTTATGTATTGAATTCTGCATGTAGCCGATGTGGCAAATCATTGTTTCAGAATCAATATTCATTTATGTTAATCCACATATTTACCTTTTCATTACCTTTTTATGCCTTCTTGTCTTCTAATTTCTTCTAGAATCACTTTTTTTTCTGACTAAAGAACATCCTTTAGTATTTCTTTTTGATCCTCACATGAGGATATGTTTTTAATGATTATTTAAAAAATCGATTTTAGAAAGAGGAAGGGAGAGAGAGAGAAAAAAAATATATCAGTCGGTTGCCTCCTGCATGTGCCCTGCCCAGGAATTGAACCCACCACCTTTTGGTGTATGGATGATGCTCCAGCCAACTGAGCCAAACTTTACAACAGTTTTAATCTCTGAGAAGGGAAGACTGTGTGTGTGTGCGTGTTTCCATATATTTCAAAAGGTACTTAGGAGTTGCTTAAGGAATGAGTAATGGAAGATTGGGAGATTATAAATGGACTAGGAAGGCTAAATCTTTTTTTTTTTTTCCTCATTTTTTTCCCTTTATTGATTTGAGAGAGAGAAGAAGTGAGGAGAGAGAAATAGAAACATTAATGAGAGAGAACATCGATTGGCCGCCACCTGCATGCCCCCCCCACACCCCACTAAGGATGTGGCCCACAATCTGGGCATGTGTCCTGACTAGATATCGAACCTGGGACCTCTTGGTGCAGTGTCGACGCTCAACCACTGAGCCACACCAGCCAGACTAGGAGGGCTAGGAGTTCAACTAGGAGTTGAACAGGATGGTCAGCATAGATGGAGGCATGTGCAGTGTTATAGCCATTACTAGGAAACGTGCTGTGAGTTAGCCATGTCTTCTTATGCCAATCATATCATAGTTCTCTTGTATTCACAGTACAACTGCTTCAAATGTTCTGCAGTTAACATTTTTACTATGAATTGTTTTCATTTCTAAGCTTTTTACTTTATTTTAAAAGGCAAGAGAAGATTAATAGACTTTTTATTCTGTTTTATGAAACTATTTCTCTTAATTGATAGAGGTGAATTTTCTGTGTGTGGTAGAAAACCCTTAACACAGGCCTTCAGTCAAAATTGTTCCCTAGCTTTCCCCCATTGATGTGCCCTCTGTGTACCGCTGGTGTGGCCTGTACACCAGATTTACACATGAGAGAAATAATAGGTCAAGTCTTAGTGTGCACCAGAATCTCATTTTGGAGAGAAAAACTGATAAAAGCAGTGACTGGAAAACTCTTTACTGGAAGTTATTTTTTAAAATTCCTAGAAGGAGACAAAATATATGCACTCCATGTGGGAATAACTTCATTCAGAAATCAAATTTCAGTATTTATACTGAGTGACATTATGTATTATCTTACAGTGAACAAGTCTCACATAAATGAGAACTGATCATAAATTATTCGCACTACAGATAAGCCCTACAATTATTGTATATTGTATATTATATGTTGTACGTCAAAATGTCTTTGTCCACGAGTGACACCCTACTGGACACCAGATAAATAATTGAGAAGAATACGCCTTCTAAGAATTTTCTTAAAATACCATAAAATAATACTGGGAGAAAACTAAATTTAATACAGTGGGGGGAAAAAACATCTCTCTATAGAAGCAAATTACACAAGTAATATATTTCATTTTGTTTATTGGTTTATTTTCATGCCCATGTCTTTAGAATCAAGGGGGACAAATAGACCAAACAATTGCCTCTCTTTTAATTAAAAAACACATTTAAACACACTCATTAAACAGGCACACATACAACTTTATATCAGTGTGACTTTTATATGTTTTATTTCTTTAATTTTGTACTTTCTTCACTCTCATAGAAACTTTAGCCACAGTAGTTTGTCAACAGATCAGCAATGCTAATCGACATCATATTTTTTACTCACATACACTTGAATATGTGCACACAGGAATCTGTGCTTCCATTGACTGGAAATGGGATTATATTCTATACATACGTTCGTGTATTTTACACTCAGCAATAGCTTTCAATCAGCTACAGAGAGTCCACGATTTGGATATGGCATCCTTTTTTCAACCACTTTGCCACTTTTTATACACATTTTTGTCACTGGAGAACATGGTCTGATGATCAAGTATGTTGGGTTTGAGGAAGGCATGATCACCTACTGGAGTTTTTAAAACATTTTCTGTAACATGCTTCTGTATATGAGATTGATGGATTGAACTGTGTTTTCTTTTTCTTTTTTTTTTCTTTTTTTTATCCTCACCATTTTTTTATCAAAAAATGGATATTTTTCCATTTTTTGTACAGATAGAGTGGGAGGGAAAGAGAGGAAGGGAGAGAGAGAGAGAAACATCGACGTGAAGAGACACATCGAGTGGCTGCCACCCACACAACCAACCAGGGCCGGGGACAAACTGCAACCAAAGCACGTGCCCTTAGCGGGAACCGAACCCGGGTCTCTCCGGACCACAGGCCGACGCTCTAACCGCTGAGCCAAACTGGCCAGGGCTGTTTTCTTTTTCTTAATAGAAGTGTCTGATTTCTTTGGACTAAGACTAACAGTTCATCTTTCCAACAGTGCAAAAATTATCCCCTTTCCCTAAAAGTGACTATTATCTTTAACCCTGTTAAATTCTTTGATTTCAAAGTGATAACTAATTTAATTTACATACTAACATGCCTCTTCAATGTGTCTTGGTCATTTAATTTGTTATTCTGTAAGTTGCCTTTATAAACCATTTACTGCTCTGGCTTTTGGTAGAATAGTCCTTTTTGAAAGGGTTAATAATGTTTTAACAAAATTAAACTCCATTCTGACCAGCTATTCCTACATGTAAACACCCGAGCAGTTTTCTAAAAAACCTGGGACTGACACCCAGAGGAACCATAAAGATAAGGGGTTAATGGTGGCCTCAGGGAAACTCGAAGGGACCATAAAGAAGGAGAGTAATGATGGAGCAGACTCCTTACCTCGGAGACACTAGTGTCAACCCTGAAACCAATTATGCGGTGCCAAGAGAATGTGGTTTTTGTTTTTTGTTTCTTTTAATGTAGTTTTTTTACCTTCTGTAGTTTGTAACTATAAAACCCAGCGAACAAAGGGACTTCGCTGCTGAACTCTTCGAGGAGTCAGCCCACCTGCACCCAGGCACATGCAGTAAAGCCATTTTGCTCTACACTGGCCTTGCATGTGGATGTGACCTCCCGCCGCTCAGACCTTTTACTTTTATTGTCTGGGAGGCGGACATCTTCTCTGTGCCTAGGTCGCCTTTGTTCTCGGGGCACCATCCCCAAGGCGGGATGCGTGGGGCTATGGGTTTCTGGACCAGGAAATCCCAGCACATTCCTTACCAGTGATCAGCTGCATGGTTGGGGCAGGGTGAGCGGGGAGAGCCCAGCTGGGCGAGGACATGACACAGAAGCTTCTGTGGCTTTTTCCGCCCAGGAACAGTGAGGCAGACCCCAGGCGCTGCCGCTCTGGCTCTGCAGTGTCCTGGGGCAGCTGTCCTGCCTTGGGGGGGGTGTGTGTGTGTGTGTGTGTGCTGGTGTCGCTTCTTTCTCAGATCTGCAGATAATGTGCCAATAACATAACCTTGGACTCACTGCCCCTGCTCGCGGGGACGCTGCCCGCTCCGGGAAGGTGGGGGCAGTAGCCGGCTTCCTTGGCTTGGCTTCTCTGCCTGGCAATGGCAGCTGCCAGACGGCTGCCACTGTGCTTCCGCTCTGCCCCTCGGGGTTCCGTGGCAGCATGTGGTACCCCTCCGGCAGGAGAGCTCACCGAGCATCTCAGCTCCCGGGCTCCAGGCCTGCAGGCCCGCTCGTCCCCGCCGCCTGCAGCTGCGGCAGCGCGGGGCTCAGCAGGCCTGTGTGTGCAGCGGGGAATCCGGGCTTAAACTTTCGCTGTGCAGATGGTTGTGACTTCGAGAGAAAAGACCAGGGACCTCTCCTGCCGCGTTTACCTGACGTCATTCAGTGTTAGGAGGTTGGACAGCGGGGTCTCCCTGCGTTTCCAGTAGGTAGTGCTGTCCTGTCATTTCTGTCTTGGCGCTGG